ACATATGTATGTTAAGTCCAAGTTTTGCGTAGTATTTATGACTGCTCTGTTTTCGAGTCTGTTTATAAACATTGTAATAAAATATCGTTTATTTCTGAGAAAAAAAAATGTTCCATTCATTTGATATTTGATATGTAATAAAATACGTGTCCATCCCATTAATGATGATGCACCTCAATACACGTTCAAACACACTTTTTAGTTTCTTAGATTTCACACATTTTTACCAAGTCTGATTTTTAAAGGTTGATTTTGAGTGACCATATCTCGGGCGACTCTTACCCTTACCGTCAGTTGATGCAGAATTTATACATGTAATTAGCTTTCAATTGTTATGCTGCTTGAATGGGTGGGCGAAGGCTGTAACACGATGATTGGGTGAAAACATTTTCAAGTTTCATTTGGAAGTCACTGCATACACACACAAAATGTATATTAAATAAGGAAGAAGAACGGGAGAGGGAGAGATCAGGGGCTCAGGGGACATGTTGTGATTTTAAGAAGGTAGTTCGGGAGGTAGTATTAACATTTTCGAGTGATATTTTATGACAAAATTATTTTCTTACAAAATGTAGCCTACTTTTTTTTCGATGCCGCTGCAATCACAGAAAAGACTTCTGTGGGGTAAAGATGATCCTATTGCTGAGCCTTCGGGGAAGGTTGTTTTTTTCATAACTTTTTTTTAATGCGTCATTATACTTGAGCACTCCCCCATGATAAATTTGAAATAAGTTCAAAGTGTATTTCGTGAATGATGTCACAACGACCCACATGTAGCCCCACTGAGCGTGGGGGGCCAGAATGTGCGTGGAGGCGTGAAGAGTGTAGATCAAGTAGATTTCGAACGGGGCGGGTGCGGTGTGTGGCTTCAAAAGTCAAGTATACGTTTACCAACAAACTTGCGTTTTACGCCCCTTTCGACACTGTGATATTATTGGCTATCAGCTCAAATGGACTTGGTTACAAAGTTTCTCGTTTATGGCACAAGTGCATGAAAAAGAAAGCATCACAATAATAAATACGCTTAATATCTTATACCTTATCGAGTGATACATTCATTCGAGATATTTGAGATGTGCGGATGAGAATTTCATGAGAGTGCCCAAGTGCCCACTGTAAACTTTCATAAGCTGAGGGGAAGTATTTCTTCTTCATGTGCCCCAAAATGTAAAATTTGGAATTCTCTCCCAATCCCAAAAGAAATACATGTCATATCATGAGAGAGAGAGAGAGAGAGAGGGGGGGGAGAGAGAGAGAGAGAGAGAGAGAGAGAGAGAGAGAGAGAGAGAGAGAGAGAGAGAGGGGGGGGGAGTCTAAAGGCACATTTATTCAACACTATTGATCCACGTCTAAAATGTAAGGACGCCTAATTTGGAGAATCGAACCAGATACGAACTGTCGGGCTTTGATTTATTTTTGATGTTTTATTTGTTTGTTTTTTATTTTTAGTTTGTTTGTTTTTCAGGGGGTGGTGGTTCTTGTTTTGAAAGAGGAATTTTTTATATAATGTTGTTGTTGTTTTGTTGTTGTTGTTTTTTGTGTGTGTGTTTTTTTGTGTGTTTTTTTAAAGGGGGGGGGGGGGGTAGATACGTTTAGGTTAAACGGCGATATCTCAGTGACCTCGCCTCGTTGTGTGTACAAGAATGTGAAACCGGAACTTGATACGGCCTGTGGGCGTCACGCTTTGATCACAACGACCTGCATGCTTCACCACTCCGAGTCCACGGCTCCGGTGCATGGTGCGACAAGAAGAACAAGAAGAACGAGAAAAGGCAGGGTGGAAGACAGTATGACAAAAATACACGCTGAAAAGTGCTGAGGGCGTTCGCGCCACGCTATAATTATACGACATCGATACCACACTCAGGTTCACAGAGGTTTTGGGGTCAGTGGAGCAAGCAGGGGCTGGCTGAACCCGACGGTCAAAATGACCTTATGTGGTTTTAATTATACATGTACATGTATTTAATTCCATTTAGACCAACCATCGGCAAAATCCGCCGGCCCGCGAGAAATGTTAGTCCACCCAGCAAGTGCTCCAGTATAACAACCCTGAGAAATTATGGGCCTATGTAACAAAATAAAAAAACTGTCCGTCTTAAAATTCAGAATCACTTGTTTCTGGCCCACATGAAAGCAATAATTTATCTAATATTTTATCTCTTGAAATACCCTTGAGTCACACAATAATAGTATGCTTAAGTACCAGTTTCGGTCTCATATTTTAGAGTTTGGATATTTAAATTAATTTCACACAATTTATCGTCTCTTGCTTCGGACTACGAGATATTCGGAATAGCTTAATTCCCACCTGCAACTTAGAAACGCTTGCCTGTTCCGGATTTAGAATAGACAGCCCTTTTTTGGGTTTTTTTGGGAGGGGGGTTGTTTTTTGGGGGGGGATATCTTAGAAATTTGTTGACGTATTAACACCTTTTTATGGCTTGGTAGCAGTAGGTGGCCATCTTTCATATTATATGAAGCATGTCTCGGTTTAATCGGACGTAAGCAAGTATTATCCCTGGCACGTTGATGGTAAGCGAGATTCTTCCAATTTATGAGGTGGATTTCGACCCTGCCTGTCAAGCAAGGCCAACCGTGACTAAGAGGGACACAATGTCCCTGCAGAAAGAAATACGCTTGTCAAATTCATGGAAATTTAGCAACTGACGATAAACACATTTTCGACGCCTTTGATGTATTTCTACAGTAATCAGTCAAATGCTAAACTAAAATACAAAAACGGTCATTTGATCTACTGCATGTAAAGAGTTTTGTTTGTTTTAGTAAAAGTTTTCCAACACTTGCAACCCAATTGGGTCATATAAGTGTTACAAGAGAGTAGAAAACTCAAACAAAGGAGGAGAGATGAGGACGATACATGCACGGTCGGAAAGAAGGAACAAATCACGCAAGGAAAGAATAAGACAGACCTACAGAAACAACAGATGAAAGAAAAGAAGTAGAATCGACAAGTGCCGCCCTGCAACCACCCTGTGTGTGTGTGTGTGTGTGTGTGTGTGTGTGTGTGTGTGTGTGTGTGTGTGTGTGTGTGTGTGTGTGTGTGTGTGTTGATCACTTATTGTAAAATGATATACACCCCAATCAGCACAATTCAGGTCTCCAAATAAGAAGGCGGGCTGCTTCGACTCTGCCAGTCATGGCCAACCTGACTTGAGTTGGATGCAACCTCCCAGCAGACGGAAGTACAAATGGTAGATTTTCCCAGATTTCGGGGGTTTCCAGCTAGAAATCTTGACCTACACCAAAAAGTGGGCATTGCCCTGCCTATAGGAGAAGTTTGGTTTCACTGCTGTGTATATTCGTTAGGTGCTAGAGAAAACTCTCCTTGTCTTTTAAAGAAACTGAACATGGGGCAAAAACGTTACCTTCTATTTTCTCAAAATAGCATTTTTCGAGATAGCCCCCTTGTGCTTAAAAGCAACCAAATGTAGTCGATAAAATCAAGTTCTTAAGACTCGCATTTTTTACGTGTAACAACACAGAGCCTATCCATTATGCCAGCATTGCGTCAGTAGCCTATAGTAAAGGGTGAGCAAAGAGAAGCATCGATGCAATAACAAGTTACCAAGTCGTTTTGCGCCAGGAATAAGATTAGGTCTTTTTAGAAGTTTTAGTAAGAGCTTTACGGCACTGGCAACACAATTGGGTCATAATATTTAAAAGAGCAGAAGATTGGAGGTGTTACTAGAGAGTAACATAATAAAAGGAGGAGAGATAAGGGCGATAGAATTTCGATAGGAAAGAAAGAGAAAACCACACCAGAGCACCCGCCAACCACAGGAATAAGAAACATCGGAAAAACAAAAAACAACTGAGGGATATTAAAGTAGAATAAATCTGTTTTCACCCCC